CCCTTTCAGTCTCAACTTCCTCTAACTTGTGTTTTAATTGTTCAATCTCCTCTCTCATAAGTTGGACAGATGATGAAGTAGAGTCGTGGCAAAGATTTCTCCCAATTGCTTTGTTTGACTCAGATCCAAGCCCATATACTTTGCCTTTGTTTATTCCAGCAACTTTACACCAAACCTGTAATACTTTACCCTTGTACTGAACAAGCAGTTACGTTAGCTTTCATAGCCATCTAAAATAACCTTCACATGTTATATAACCATCACCCTTGTACTGAACAAGGTTCACAACAGGGCACTCAAAAACTCTTCCCAAAAACTCTTCCCCTGAATGTATCTTGAACAAAAGTATAAAGGCTTAGTTTGTATCCAATAATATGTAGACACAGATGGACCATCATACATCATGTCCAATGATACTAACTATGGGGGAGGGGAATGGTAATAGAAATTCCTTATTTTATACCTTGCAAGCAGTTACATTAGCTTTTTTGTCTTCCCAGCTATGGACATTTTAAAGCAAATGGTGTCCTAAGTTCAGCTAAAAATGCTCCAACTAGCAATTCCTACCCATGTAAAACAAAATTCAGATTCAAAAAAGCAGAGTGACAGAAAGCAATTAGTACATAAACAAGCAATCTCTAAAAAAAAAAAAACACTATATTACAACACTCATAAAAAACATTCTCCTATTAATCGCCATTTCATTGAACCAAAGTGAAACTATAAGTGCAAATCTTGTAATTTCCCCCATAATTACACTACATTTAGAAACCAAAACATTTACAGGACAAAATAACAAAATAAAGAATAAACAAACAAACTCAAGTATGAATAAGTGCATCTTGCCGCAAATTATGAGAATTTGGCATCACAACAACATAGTCCAAATAGGACCCACAATCCTTAATAACAGTCCAAAACAGCCCATAAGAAAAAAAATAACCCCCAACTCAATCCAAATCCCAGACAAAAGCAATCAATAGTCGAGAACGATAAACTCAACAATAGGTTTCCCCACAGATGCTAGCAATCAAACAGAAGTAAAACCACAAACAACAGAATGCAAAGAAAATGAACTTTGTACCCAATAATGTCTCTGGTTTCGATTTCCACCTGAGATCCCTGTCAACTCCTCATTCACAGGGAGAGGCATTCTGATACAAACCAACCAGTGGACCTAGACCCAATAAGGAAGGATGACCCAATAGTAAGGAAACGAGCAAGAAAGAAGCCAGCGTGGATGACTGATTATGTCTGCGGACAAAATTAGAAGATCCTGATATGCTCAAATTATGTCTGCGGACAAAATTAGAAGATCCTGATATGCTCAAATTAATTCCTGAAATTTCTGCTGCAAATTATTAGTTTAATTCCTGTTTTATTTCCCTAATTTTTGCTTGATTATTAGCACCCAATTCCTTTTAATAGCTATGATGTAATCAAAACAGAACAGAATAAAAGTTTTCAATATCCTTTTTCCCCCAAATTCTATTATTCTCTTTCCCTTAATTTTTTGAGGAGTGAACACTCACTCGAAGAGTGTTAAAACCTTTGAGCATTCTACAGCAGAGTGTATCATTGGTGCTTTCATCATGGACACAACTGAGCTTATGAGCGCCCTTCAATCCAATATCGATGCACAGATGGTAAAGTTTCGCGAATTACTCGAGTTCCATACCGAGTCAGTTCATTCCACACTCCACCAACACCTGGTAGAAGTTGATTCGAAGGTCGCAAACTTACACGTCGAAGGCAAAAAACAACCACAGAATGCATTTGCCGGGCAGACGTCACGTGCGCTGAAATTAAACGTACCACGTTTTGATGGTTCCAATCTCTTGGATTGGATTTTCCAGATTGAAGCTTTCTTCAACTTCCACGAAACTCCGGAAGAGTCCCGACTTCAGATCGTAGCCTTTCATCTTGACGGACGCGCTGCTGGCTGGTTCCAATGGGCAAAACATAACAATTTGTTACCATCGTGGCCAATTTTTCTCATCGTTGTTCGCCACTGCTTCGGTCCAACTCAGTACGAAGACATTGAAGGTGAACTCTCCAAATTAACTCAAACCGGCTCTGTAGCTGATTTTCAAGCCCAGTTTGAAGAATTGATGAACAAGGTCAACGGTATCTCCGAATCACTACTGATCAGTTTTTTCATTACGGGACTGAAAAAGCATTTGAGACGGGAATTGCAATTTCACCGACCTGCTGCGTTAATGGAAACCTTCGCCATGGCCAGAGCATATGAGGCCCGTTTTGATGACACACCAACCATAGGCAAATTGTGGTCTCGCGGCCCACAACACTCCACAGGCTCACATACCCAACCTAACCACAATCAAACAAACCGATCCAATTCAAATCTAAATAACCCATCTCACCGATGCCAAAACCGCGTGCTTATCCTCATGGAAGCGGATGAAGAGGAACCCCCACCGGAATCCGAGGATAACTCAATAGATGATATCTCGGGTGACATATCCAGCCTTCACTCCTTGTCCAGCCAGCTCCAAAGCCGATCCTTGCGTGTTTCCAGCCTTTATAACCAAACAAAATTCACCATCCTCATTGACAGTGAGAGCACTCACAACTTTATCAAGCCTGCATTAGTGGAACGATTGAGGTTACCTATCAAACCATGCCCTCGTTTCAAGGTCGCAACTGGTTGTGGAACCTTCTTGGTTTGTCAATTTTGCTGCCATAATGTCCCTCTTATCTTACAGGACATTAAATTTGAGGTGGATTTGTTTATCCTGAACATTGAAGGTCCCGATGTTGTGTTGGGCTTTCCTTGGTTGCAATCTTTGGGCAAAGTTGCTCATGATTATTCGACTCTCACTATGGAGTTCATGTGGCAAGGGACCCAAGTTACTTTAGTAGGTGATGCCTCTCTAGCATCACAATCAGTGTCACTGTATCAGCTTCAAGCATTGGTTCACACCAATAATGTGGCCAGTGTTTTTACCATCATGACGTCCCTTCAAGACGTTGATTCTCTCCCAGAACCATCCAGCAATTTTCCATCCAACCTACCCAGCCCAGCTACTGATCTATTATAACGTTTTAAGTCCATTTTTTCTACACCCACAGAATTGCCTCCTCACAGAATGGTTGACCATCACATCCATCTTGTTGAAGGATCCAAGCCAGTCAATGTGAGGCCCTATCGATATCCTCAATTTCAAAAATCTGAAATGGAGAAGTTGATCCGAGAAATACTTGATCAAGGCATCATCGTCCCTAGCCACAGTCCATTTTCTTCACCCGTCTTATTGGTAAAGAAGAAAGATGGTACATGGCGATTTTGTGTGGATTATAGATCGTTAAATTCTGTTACAGTTAAGGATAAATTTCCAATTCCAACCATTGATGAACTTTTGGATGAGTTGGGTGGCGCAAGAATATTTACAAAACTGGACTTGCGTGCAGGGTACCATCAAATTCGGGTTCATCCGAGTGAAAATTATAAAACGGCGTTCCGCACACATGAGGGCCATTTTGAATTTCTTGTAATGTCGTTTGGACTTACTAATGCACCGTCAACATTCCAAGCCGCAATGAACCAATTGTTTTCTCAATACTTACGAAGGTTTGTGTCTTTGGTTGTGCGTCACCATGGGTACCATCGTTCCATTGTGTCTGATCGTGATCCGGTCTTCATTAGCGCTTTTTGGCGCAAGCTGTTTGAACTTAGTGGCACCAAGCTTGCTATGAGCAGTGCCTATCACCCTCAAATTGACGGTCAAACCGAGGTAGTTAACCGTGGGTTGGAACAATATCTTCGTGTCTTCATTCAACATAAACCGTCTTCATGGGTTGCATTCCTCCCGTGGGCCGAATTTTATTATAACACCAGCTACCATAGTGCCTTGCAAATGTCCCCTTTCGAGGCTCTTTATGGTCGAAGACCACCCACCATTCCGGCATATACTAGGGGATCCACTTCTATACAAGTATTGGATGAGGCCCTAACTTCTCGTGATGAATTACTCCGCACTTTAAAGACAAATTTAACTACTGCTCAACATAGAATGCGTCAGAAGGCCAATGCACATCGTCGAGACATTACTCTCGCTGTTGGTGATTTGGTTCTCGTACGCCTCAGACCGTATCGCCAAACATCAGTCCGTCAATTGAAACACCACAAGCTCTTGAAGAGGTTCTATGGTCCTTATAGCATCATCGAGCGCATTGGGACAGTGGCATACAAACTCCAACTTCCTCCTGGTAGTCGCATTCACCCGGTTTTTCATGTGTCGGCTCTTAAACCTTTTCGTGGTACTGATAAGATGTCTGCATGTGACTTACCCTTGGAAAACTTTGATAACCAACCTATTGATCAACCAAGGGCAATTTTAGATTGGCGAACTTAGTTAGTTCACGGGCAACCACAGGAACAACTCTTGGTGCATTGGGAGGGTTGTCCAGTTGATGAAGCTTCCTGGGAAGACTTGGAAAATTTCCGCACTTGTTATCCTGATTTTCACCTTGAGGACAAGGTGAGTTCTGCAGAAGGGGAAAATGATACAAACCAATCAGTGGACCCAGACCCAATAAGGAAGGATGACCCAATAGTAAGGAAACGAGCAAGAAAGAAGCCAGCATGGATGACTGATTATGTCTGCGGACAAAATTAGAAGATCCTGATATGCTCAAATTATGTCTGCGGACAAAATTAGAAGATCCTGATATGCTCAAATTAATTCCTGAAATTTCTGCTGCAAATTATTAGTTTAATTCCTGTTTTATTTCCCTAATTTTTGCTTGATTATTAGCACCCAATTCCTTTTAATAGCTATGATGTAATCAAAACAGAACAGAATAAAAGTTTTCAAGATCCTTTTTCCCCCAAATTCTATTATTCTCTTTCCCTTAATTTTCTGAGGAGTGGACGCTCACTCGAAGAGTGTTAAAACCTTTGAGCATTCTGCAGCAGAGTGTATCACATTCAGTCATCCCCTTTTTAGTCAACAGTGGTGCGACAAAGCGAGACTGGGATGATTCACAGTGGTCGGCATGGGGCGAGTCGTGGCCAGGGCTCCGCGGTGGTGCGCTACTTCGTTGAGGGTGACTGGTGAGTGCTTGGCACAATTGAGCGTGAATCTGGCTTGCTGTGGCTCACGGTGGTGCTAACGGGTATGGGCCGTGATGGGGGTTGCACCGCGCGGTGCTAGGGTTAAGGGTGGAGACCGTGAGAGTGGAGTTTGCAATGGAGAGGAAGGAAGGGTGGAAAAGGTGAAGGCGCAGTAGGGTGATTTGGGGGTTGCGACTCCGGTGAGGGGAGAAGCGGGTTTGGTTGGGGTGCCACGGTGGTGGCTAGGAAGAGGTGGCGAAACCGCAGCAACTCAAGGCGCTAGCCATGTCGCGATCGGTTCGATGGTGTAGGGTTAGTGGCGATGAGGGGTCAGGCACGGTGGCTCGGTGGTGGTGCGACCATAGTGGCCCCGAGCAGCGGTTCACAGTGACTACAGGTGAAGCATAAAAAATAAAGGGAGGAAGATTTGGGTGCTAGCTGGCACCGGTGAGGGCTATGGTGGTGCTGGGTGTGGGCTACAATGGGGATACATGGGTCATGGGTCCTGAGGTGAGGCGTGGGGATCTATGGGTTATGGGTGTTGAGGTGAGGGTGGATGAAGAGTGAGGTGATGGGTGCGATGGGGGTGGCTTCTGCGAAAGGGAGTAATGATGAGGAAAAGTAATGGAGGGGCCGGTTAGAAATGGAACTAGGGCTAAGGTAATGATAAGTCATCAAATTCGTATATAAAACAAATTTAATGATGAATTAAAATAGAACAACATTTATAAGAGATATTTATTTTTATTTATGATAGATCAAACGTGGAAATACATTTAAATTTATAATTTTATTTATGAAATACATTTAAATTTATAATTTTATTTATGAAACACATTTAAATTTATAATTAATGAAAATATATTTTCGATTAATTATTAATTAGTATACTTAAACTAAAAAATATATTTTAACTAAAGATAAATATATTTTTATAAATAATTTAATTAAATAATATATTTATTATCTAATGTATATTGATATAATTTTTTTTTGGTATATCAATTATATGACAACAACCATGATTAAGTAATTAATAATAATAAAGCAATAAATTTAAAAATTAGATCAAAAGTAAAGTATTATAAAATAAAATTGTAATAATTTGATTAAAATTGTAATTTTTTAATTAATTAAGTTAATGAGGAATTAAAATGTTATAATTTGATGTGTTTAATTTTTTTAATATAAATTTTTAAAATATAATTTAATTTCAATTGAAATTTTCAATTGAAAAATAAATTAAAGAATATTTGTTATTAAACTCTTCTTAAACAATGTATTGAATAGTTAATATTACTCTAGTCTTAATTTATTATAATTTAAATTTTTAATAAATTTGATTTATTTTTAATAATATTTTTATTTTAGTAATTTAAAATTAAATTTAATCTTCATTTTGTTAATATTGAGACCAAATTTTATTTTTAAAGTATATTTTAAAAATTAAATTATTTTTAAAAAATAAATTACTTTTAAAAAATAAATTGTAAAAAATATACTAAAATAATTAAAGTATAATTATAAAAAAATAAATTTAAATATAATAAAAAAATAATATTCATTAGTGACCGATTTCAATTCGGTCACTATTTTCTCATTAGCTGACCGATTTTAATTCGGTCACTATTTCAATATGTAATTCGGTCGCTAAATCGATCGCTAAATGATTTTTTTATTTTAATATGGAATAACCATCGATTTAGCGATCGAAATTTTGTGACGCAAACTATTGGTTGCTATTTCAGTCGCTAAATAAAAAAGTGAAACCAAATCATATTTTGGTGGCTAAATCGGTCGCTAAATTGCGACCGAATTAACTCGGTTGCTAATTGCGACCGAATTAAAGTGGTCGCTAAATCGGTTGCTAATTGGGACCGAATTAAATCGGTCGCTAATTGCGACCAAAATTAAATCGGTTGCTAAATGTGTTTTTTCTTGTAGTGATAACAAATTTTGTAATTAAATCAATAATTATAAAAATACAATAAATATATAATTACAAATAATTTGTTGTTGTCGTCAATTTTGTTAGTGTTCCCCTCAAATTAATGTTGGTAGATCTACTAGCATCAATTTGGCAAGGTAATAATTATGTAGCGTATTTGTTAATGCTTTTGTTAGATATTGTTTAGATATTATTTAATATTGTTAAGATATTGTTAGATATTAACCATAATATCAAACAATATCTTCTGTTTATTCTGTTACTTTCAGTTACTCTTTTAGTTGTATCTCTCTACTATAAATAGACTACCCTATGTGTGATTTATACACAAGGGAGATTAATCCCAAACTCTATTTCTTCTATATTCAACATGGTATCTAGAGCTTAAGGTTATTTTGAATTTTTTTTTTCGCCTTTGACCACTATTGAAGCCGCCACCACCGCTGCTATCGTTGTCGGTTATTTGGTAGTGTGAAAGTGCATGTCTAGGAAAGTTCTGACAAGGAAAGACTTGGTATTTAAGCGTGTCCATTAGTGACCCACCTCTCTTTCCTGGGAACTTACCTGGTGTACTGGTTCACGCCGCTGTCACTATCGCCTCCGCCCTTTATGAGTTCTTCCGCTCCTTTTAGTACTTCCAATTCTATCAGTACTGCGTCTGATCCTTCCATCTACACTAACTATGTTAATGTGCACTTATCCATTGACAAGTTAACTGCCCATAATTATGCCACATGGTCATCAGACGTCAGATTATGGCTTAAGAGTTAGAAGTATGTTGATCATCTTGCCCCGAAAGCACCTACTCTCACTCCTAGTGAGGAAGACCGTTGGGACACCATTGATGCTCAATTATGCGTGGTTCTCAAGGGTACTCTTGATCCTTCGTTAAAATAAATTTTTCGTTCCTACAAAACATGTGCCAAAATCTGGGAACATGCCAAGTTATTATACACCAATGATACTCAACGTCTCTATGATGTCTGTTCTAAATTTGTAGATGTTATTGTCTCTAAACATCAAGATTCTATGACTGATTATATGGAAAAAATTCATGCTCTTTTTCATGAGTTCAATGAGTTATTGCCTCCTTCCCCCGACCCTGCCACCGAGATAGGACAACGATCAAAGTTCTTCATGCTAGGGGCATTACACGGACTTGCTGATCAATATTCACATATTCGTGATCAGATTTTGGGTTCTCCGTTTGTCCTCACCTTGACATCGACCTGCTCCACTCTTTTGCGTATACTAGCAAAACCCAACCCTGACACACCTGCTTCTGTTAATGATTCTTCTGCATTGGTATCTCACCATGATGATCGAACTTGCCCTCGTAAACAGGGAAAAGGGCGTCCTAAGTGTGAATATTGTGGCAAGCTAGGTCACAAGATTGACCAGTGTTATGCATTACATGAGTGTGAACATTGTGGCAAACTAGGTCACAAGATTGACAAGTGTTATGCATTACATGGTCGTCCTACTCGATCTACTGCAGTTGCTCAGACTGATCTTTCCCCACCTTTATCTGCTAAGGATCCTCCTTCTTCTATTTCATCAGACACACCTGCTATGTTCAACACATTTCTCAAATGGTATAAGGATTAACAGTCTTCTAGTTCCACTGTGTCTGTCGCACACACAGGTACATCTTTTGCTGGTCTGACCTAATCTTCTTCTGGTCCTTGGGTTTTTGATTCAGGAGCTACTGATCATATTACTACTAACAAATCTTTGTTCTCCTTTTTATCCTCTCCTGATCCTTTACCTTTTGTTACACTAGCTGATGGCTCTAGAGTATCATCTCATGGTGTTGGAACTGTTAAACTTTTCCCTTCTTTAACCATTGATAATGTTCTTTATGTCCCTAGGTCTCCTTTTAACCTGTTATCCATCAGTCGTCTAACTCGTTCTCTTGATTGTGTTGTTTCTTTTACCAATAATTCTGTGTGTTTACAGGATCGGAGTTTGAAATAGGTGATTGGCACAGGATGTGAGTCTCATGGTCTTTATCATCTTCGTCCCTTTACACATGTTGGTGTAGTTATAGAGTCTCCCTCTCTTCTCCATGCTCAGTTAGGTCATCCAAGTCTTGCCAAGTTACCGCAACTTGTCCCTGCCTTATCTAAATTGTCTAGTTTTGCATGTGAGTCGTGTCAATTAGGCAAGCATAGTCGTACTTCCTTTCCTCGTAGTGTCACACGTGGTGCTTCATCCCCTTTTGTCGTGGTTCACTCTGACATTTGGGGACCTAGCCGCGTTAAGTCTACTTTAGGTTTTCAATACTTTGTTACTTTCATTGATGATTATTCCAGATGCACTTGGTTATTTTTGATGAAAAATTGTTCTGAATTATTTCATATCTTTCAAACTTTTTTCAATGAAATTCAAACTCATCTCGGTGTTTCTATTAGAGTTTTGCGCAGTGATAATGGGCGTGAATATCTTTCTCATTCTTTTAAACAATTCATGGCTTCTCATGGTATTTTGCATCAAACTTCTTGTGCTTATACACCTCAACAAAATGGTGTAGCTGAACGTAAAAATAGACATCTTATTAAAACAACTCGCACTCTTTTAATTCATGGAGAGGTTCCTCAACATTTTTGGGGTGATGCTCTTCTTACTGCATGTTATCTTGTTAATCGCATGCCATCTTCGGTTCTAGATAATAAAATACCTCATTCCATTTTATTCCATCATGAACCACTTCATCCCTTACCTCTAAAAGTTTTCGGGTCTACATGTTTTGTTCATAATTTTAGTTCTAGTCTTGACAAGCTTTCTCCTAGATCACATAAATGTGTTTTCTTAGGGTTTACAAGATCACAAAAATGATACAAATGTTTTTCTCCTTCTCTTAAACATTATTTTGTGTTTGCAGATGTCACCTTTGATGAGTTCTCTTTTTATTTTAAAAGTCAATCTTCACCTTTATCTCCATCCAATCTTGTCAACACTCCTAGTACATTTAATGTTCCTGTTGTTTATGACCCTCTAACTGTGTCTTCTTCACCATTAGATTCTACTCCGTAGTCAGCTTCTTCTTCACTGCCTCTTCAGGTTTATAGTTGCCGAAACCAATCACAACCACCACCATGTGACTCTACTCAAGTGCCAACTACTCTGTCTCCTCTGGATGTGACACCTGAGTCTGACCTTCCCATTGCCCTCTGAAAAGGTATCCGTTCTACACGTAATCCCTCTCCTCATTATATTGGTTTGAGTTATCATCGACTGTCATTACCTTTTTATACATGTCTTTCCTCTCTTTCTTCTGTGACCATTCCAAAAACTGTCCGTGAAGCTTTAGCCCATCCTGGTTGGCGTCAGGCCATGTTAGATGAACTAAGTGCTCTTCATAATAGTGGAACTTGGGAATTGGTCTCGTTACCTTCTGGGAAATCTGTTGTTGGTTGCAGGTGGGTGTTTGCTATCAAAGTTGGACCTGATGGTACTA